AGATGTGCCCAGCGGTTGGGCATCTCCGGTAAGCGAGGCTCTGGATGCAGCAATGGGGTCACCACCAGCACCCAGCTCTCCTGCCCAGGGGCCAGATCCTGCCTTCTCCCCTTCCCTCGCAGCCCAGCCCTGGGTGGCATCGACCTTCTCGACCCAGCAAGGGCCGGGTGGTTGACCCATGTGGAGAAGAGCTCAGTGCTGGTGCGAGCAGTGAGAGCTTCCAGCGGCTCTTCAATGCCAACACCGAGTCCAACTGGTCCTGGTGCAAGGCAGGGACCTTGGGAGACCACGGGTTAGGGGGTGGCAGAGGGTGGCCCATATATCTCACTGCTGTCCGACAGGCAGCACAGACCAGGAGAAACGGGCATGGGGGGCTGCAGCGTTCCCACACCATTTCGTGCCCCCCCCCCCATCCTGTCAAAGTCCTGGATGAAGGCATGGCCACCTCTGACCCGAAGACCCCTGACTGTGTCCTCCTTGGTGGCGACGAGACACCTGAGGGGCAAAAGCCCACTGAAACCCTCAGCATTGCCTATGTGCACTGGGGTGCCCAAAACCCAACGCGTGGTCCTTGGGGCTCTCCAAGCTGGTATCTGCTCCCATCACCCAGCTAGTACGGGAGATGCAGTTGAGGGTCCCACACCTTGCCCTTGCCCAGGCTGCCATCCCATTCCTGGCTCGGAGGATCAGTAGCACCAACTCCACCAGTGTCCTGGACGAGGTGACTGCGGCCAACGTGGAGGAAGTGGCCCACACCATCAGCATGCACCAGCGCATCACCAACCGCTTCCTCAAGGGCAGCGTGGGTGGGTCCTGCACCCTCTGTCCCCATGGGTGTCCCCGCCAGGGCCAGCGTGCTGCGCTCAGGCTGTCCTCACTGCTTTGTCCCAGGAAGCACAAGGAAGGTCCCCGAGTCCATACCAGCATCCAGGCACCACCTAGCCTGGTGGGACAGGTCTACCTGGCGACTGGCTTGTCCCCTATCATCCTTGGTGGTCCCTGGGGTTGTTCCAGCTTGTCACCTGCCTCTGGATGCTGGGGGTGGAGGGGAGGAGGCTTGCAGTGTCACGGTCCCTAAGGGAACTTGTGGTGTCCCCAGATAGCACTGTCTGGCCACGGTACTCTGCCAGAGCAGGTTGGGGGGGGGGGCAGCCATCTCCAGAAAGATGTCCTCAACCTGGTCTGCCTCCGAGACTCTCAACCCACTGGAGGTCTCAACACTTGGCAGCTCAGCTCCTGGCCCGACCTGCTGCCACACCTCCCGCCAGGTCCTCGAGCTCAATGAGTGCCGGTGCATCGTTGCCTGCCTCTTCAACAGCATCACGGCCAAGAAGATCATGCTGTTGGGCTTCGCCTTCCGAATGGACACGGGGAAACACAAGGTGCTGGCTGGGCAGGGTTGGGGAGGAACAGTCGAGCCGGACCATTCCCCTGCCTGCAGTCGTTCAGTCACGTATGTGATGAGCAGCCTGATCTCTGCAGCTCCACCTCAGAGCAGCAGCAGGAGAAGGATTTACACGCCGGGCCCCAGTGCAGCTCAACTTTCCCTCTTGGCCCAGGGAGTCATCCAGCATCCCCAACAGCAAGTACCAGACGGATGAGGGTGCCCACCAGCACACTTACTTAGGGCCTCAGGGTGAAGAATGAGCAGATGGTGCAGGCCATGTCCCAATCCATCACCTCAGCTGAGGGGTAGGGCTGGTGCACACCTGGGGTGGCCAGGACCACAAGCCACTGGTACTCCCCAGCCTCGAGGCTTGGAGCAGGTCCTCGGTGCCATCCCAGGCCTGGCAATCGTGTCCCTGGGAGCAGCACCCTGCTGTGACTGTGCCGGTTTCCCTCTTGCCTGGCCTCCACTGCCCACCTGTGCTGCACCTGGAAGGACAGGCTGGACTTGGGTGTTGGTGCTGAAGATCTGCTGGATGCTCTCCTCCTGAGCCCTTGCTTAGCCTGGTCTGCATTGCCTCAGGCCCCTACAAAACCTGTGGCAACACCCATGGCATCATCTTCTGCACTGGTACCTCTGCACATCGACATCTTCAAGGTAAGATGCTCCAGCCTTGGCCATGGTAGCAGGAAGGACTCGGTGCCCTTGGGGCTAGTCCTTTCAGACACCAGCTCTGCCTGTTCCCCTCCCCTGTGGGGCTGCTTGTTCCTCACCCTTCAGCTCTGATCTGCCCCGTGGAGTCTCTACCTCCACAACTACCTCCACCCAGGTGGCCACCGGGACTTCCTATCGGCAGAGCCCCTTGGTCCCTGTGGTCCAGGGCTGCCCTCGGCCCCGGTTCCCACCCTCGGCAGCTCCCCTCGGGTGTTTTTCCAGGAGCTGGACTATAAGCGAATCTACTGGGCCATGCTGGTGCCCTTAGGCTCTTGGTGGCTTGTGCTCCAGGTGGAGACCATGAGCAGGAGGATCAGGCAGCACCGCCCCTTCACCACCACCAGCACCATCACCCAGCTGGACATCCAGGCTCCTCCCGTGAAGAAGATGAAGCAATGATGTTTCTGTAGATACATCTTAAGATAGCTGTGAAGATGTGTTGTATCCATATGCAGTGGGTGCTGCTGACCGTGGATGCAGATGGGTGGGCTTCCCAGGGAGCAGGAATTCCCTCTCTCCAGGGCGCTCACCAAGGCCGGGCTTGTGTAACTCATTCCAGACTGTCCTCATAAAAAGACTTGGCTGCTTTGAGAGCTGGGGTGACCCTTCTTCTAGCCCTGCTCCTGGGCGATCACAGACTCCCATGTGGTCCTGAGCCACACCAAGGCTGGGACACATCCCCAGGGCCAGCATAGCCCCCGAGGCCTTTGGCGTGCCTCAAATGGCACTGGTAGACCTCTGGGGGGCACAGAATGGCCCACAGAGGTCCCAGAGGAGGGTGACACAAGAAAAGGCACATTGAAGCCCCTGCAGTGCAACAAGAAACACTCTGAAGACACCAAAATTCACTTCAGGGGCTGTTGCAGCTGCACAGAGAGAGACGGTGAGAGTCCTGGTGTACATCAGAAGGGACAGACTGACCTCTGGGGAGTACAAAAAGGCACCTGGCAGCACCTGAGGGTACACCAAAAGGCTCTTGAAGGATCCCCCCTGGGGATCTCCAAAAGGAGTAAGGATGGCACTTGGGTGCTGCCAAAGGGACTTGGTGGGTCCAGATGCATGTCAGAAGGTACTGGTAGAGCTCTGGGAAGCAGAGATAGGCATGCAGGGCCATTCCAGGTGCACCAAATGGACTCAGAGCCCCATGGGCCACATCCCAAAGCTCTGGGAGGCCTCTGGGGCACTACATAAGGCAGTGGTTCATCAGTGTTGAGCACAGAATGGCTGTTGGAGGACACCTGAAGGCACTTCAGAGTCCCCTGGTGCTGCACTGCAAGGCACCTGGCAGCACCTGGGCAGCGTAGAAAGGCACATGGAGTCCCCCCTTAAGTGCACCAGAAGGCACTCGGGACCATAGTGAGCACAGAAAGGCCCTTGGAGACCACTGGGGGCTAACAGCAAGGCACCTGGGTCCTTTTTGCACAGGAGAAGGGACCAGCAGAGCTCTGTACTCGGAGGCACCCAGGTATGCCCTGAAATGCACTTGGAAGACCCCGGTGCTCATCAGAAAACACTTCTAGACCACTGGGCACGCTGAAAGGCACTTGGAGGCCCCAGAGAAGGGCATAAAGGTGCTATGATGTCCCAGAGGTGCACCCAAAGGCACTCAAAGACCACTGGAGGCTCATCAAGAGGTGCTCGGAGGAGCCTGGGGCATACTGAAAGACAGTCAGAAAGACCCTGGAGAGAAGCTGGGGACACAAAAGCTCTGGGTGCCAGCGACTGCTGCTTCCCACAGGAGCAAACGCTGCTTCCAGGGGCCCAGCAGGCTGTGGCTGCAGAGCCTGGAGGCTACAAGAATGATCCAAGTCCCACCCTGTCCCTTCTCCTGCTGCTGGAGAAGACAGGTTTGCTGGTGTGGGGGGAGAGCAGAGAGATGGTGCTGGACAGGCAGGGAGCTGAGGATGCGGGAGCAAAAGACGATGTGACACAGCCGGTGCTTTCCAGGCTACTTTAATATCAAGTGAACAGCATGCGGCCGGACCTCCTGGTCCCGAGGAATCATTCATAGACAGCCGGTAACCCCGTGGCTGCTTCCCCGCAGCGCAAACAGCCCTGCACCTCCCAGAGCCCGCAGACACTCCCCTCGTTAAAAAGCAGCTTCACCAGCCCATGGAACGTCCCCCGTTCACCAGGACGGTCCCCGTGTGTGGCCTTGTCCTCACCCGAGGCTGTTCCTCAGGAACCAGGCATGCCAGCGGAGGAGAGACGGGCCCACGGTGAGCCCAGGTAGCCCCCAATGTCCCCTCCGCCCCCCCAGCCGACGCTGGCAGTCTCTCCAAGCAGCTGCTGCTTCTCTCTGCACCGGGCCCCTCCACCACAGCAGAGCAACACAAACCAACTTAAAAGAAGCCAAACTGGGCAGGTAAACCTACATCCCCAAAAAACAGAACCATACCCAAGGGCCGGCTGGGGACAGGGCAGCTGTCACGGACCAGGCCAGCAGCCCTATCTTCCAGAGCCAGCTCTCAAAACAAACCCAAACAAACTCAAAACAGCTGGAACAGGACCAGGTCCCCAGCGGGGCTCGCACGCCGCTCCTGCGGCCGGCGGCACCGAGGCTGGTGGCTCAGGTTCAACTTGTGGTTTGGGCAGAACGGCTGCCTACGTCAGCTGGCCTCCTGCAGCAGAGAGCAAAGCATCAGGCTCTGTGCAGTGCTGCGGGGAGCAGCACCCCAAAACCCCCTCCCCTTGTGTTCTCTGCTTCCAACCAGGAATCCCACCCGCAGCTCAGAGCCACCGGGTCACATCTGGCGGGGGGGTGACAGTGTTTCAGCCCTGCCTGCCAGGCTGGGATCCGCCATGCACTAGAAGCACCACAGCTCCACACTCCCAGGAGATGCTCCAAGACTTTGGGAAAGGCAGGGGGTTGGCACCGACACCATGCGAGGACTCACCTAGCATCCGGAGAACCTGCAGAGCCACTGCAACCTTCGCCTCCTCATGCCCACTCCTGCCTGGCCCATCCTGCCGGACCCACGTGAACCCACTGAAGGGCACGGGGCACCCTGGGATCACCACCCGGCACCAGAACCGCAGCCACCCGTTGGGATTCGCCTGGATGCACTTGGTGAGGAACAGGGGGGTCCCCAGGTACTGCCTCTGGCACAGGGTGTTCAGGTGGTCCAGCGCGTTGTGCAGCACTGGAGACAGGGGCGCCTGCTTGGGGACCCCCAGGCACTTGCTCCCTTGCACCCGGCTGGATGATGGCTTCTCCTTGCACGACTGCAGTTTCTGCTTCAGATCGGGATTCAGCCAGTCCACCCTCATCTCCACCCCACCGAGCCTCATGTTCCCTAGGAGAGACAGGCAGCAGCTGGCAGGAGATGCTCACGAACCAGCCCTCCAGTATCACCCCATCCCACCCCGTCCCGTCGCCCAGCATCTGGCACAGTGACCCCCGTGGGTGGTTTGGCACTGACCCACAGGGTACGAACTGCACAGGATCCTTTCCCCTGCCTCCACGACCCCTCACGCAGCCGCAGGGCAGTCGCTTCTCCATCTCCTTTTGCTACCAAGGTGGGCTCGGGGCTGTGAAGCTCAGGGGATTTTAGGGGCAGCCTGCCTTTAGGGACAGGTGCAAAGATGTCAAAGCCAACTGCTTCTCAGCTGGGGCAGAAACGGGTACAAATCAGGACTTTGGAGGTTCCAGTTGGATGTCTGGGAAACATGTCCCATCAAGGGCAGTGCAATCACGGGACAGGGCACTGAGGGGTAGGGCACCTCCATCAGGAGGGTTTAATAACTTGGTCAAAGCTCTGGATGCCCTGGACTGGTACTGGCAGTACCAGTACCTGCTCTGAGCAGGCAGCTGCCTGAAGACCTCCAGCAGCCCCTTTACCCCACCACCACTAGGTCTGCACAAGGACTGCCGGGGATCAGCCCCACCGAGGACAGCTGGCCTCCCACGGGACACAGGGAGAGAACAAGGGATGTCTCAAGGCTGAAGTCACCTCGCAGCTGAGTCTGGAGGTTGGATCAGTCCTTCCTTAGAGACACCAGGAAGACCAGCCCAAGCAGCATTCCACAGCACCCCGGCCTCCCACTTACCTTCCATCAGGGTTTTCTTGGCCATGGCAGCAGCCTGGTGCGAGCTGTATTTCAGCACAGCGAGCTGGGCCCGCTTCTGACAGGGGCTGGCGTACAGGGTGATGCTGAGGACCCCCTCCGTGACCTGCCGCAGCACAGCCTCCAGCTCCTGCCGGCTGACCGAGGTGGCCAGGCCGTCCACGCTCAGCTCGCACTTCTCCGTGCTCTTGCACACCACGATGGCGCAGCCCTCCCGCACCTCAAAGTTGTTGAAGGCAGCGATGGCCTCCTTGGCGCCGCGCCGGTTGCTGTACTTGGCATAGGCAAAGCCCCGGTTGAGCCCACTGAAAGTCATCATGAGGCGAAACTCGTAGAGCTTCCCCACGCTCTGGAAGAGCGGGATCAATGCGTTCTCATACATGTCCTGCGGCAGCTTCCCGATGAACACCTCTGTGCCGACCGGCGGGGGGTCGCCCACCCAGCCTGCAGGCACACAGCAACATGGTGCACGTGGGTGAGACCCACCTCGCCTCTGTGCCCGCCAGGCACCCTACGTGCCGTGCTCCCAGGGCACCACGGCACCAAGATACTCTTCTCACATACCTGGGGGGGGGCCACCATACCGCCTCTGCCCGTTGATCTGCACCAGGTCGATGCCGGTTTCTTTTGCCCAGGCAAGCAGGGCCATCTTATTGGCCTGGTTGATGCTGTTGGTCCACGTCTGAGGAGGGAGATGACGTCGGCGCTTGTCTGGGCAAAGAGTTTCCAACCTCCCAACTGGGGGCATCCCAACCCCATGAAGCAAATACAAGGCCTAGCACCAGCCAGCATGTGGAGAGGCAAACGCTGAACCCCTCTGCCCTCAGGAAACCTGAGGAGCCTCTCAACACTTGCACATCCAAAGGACTACCCTGCCCACTGTACAAGCCTGCTCCACGTAACTAAGTCCAGCAACTTTGATAGAGCACAAGGACACCAACAGTTCCCCTGTGGATGTCTGCAAGGGCTTTGAAAGCCAAGACACAGGCAGCAGCTGGTTGGCGCTGCAAGAGGGGGCTGGAGCACAGAACCAAGGTGACCCAGATCACGAGATCCCAGGCAGGCTGGGACCCCAAGGCAGCCAACTCTCTTCTACCAGCATCTCCTCAGGCATCAAGGAGGGTCTGGAGATACCATCCATGTGGCAACATCATCAGGTTTTAGCTCATTAAGTACTCCGAAGTCTCATTAGGGCCTCCAAAACTGTACGCTGAGTGGGATTAACCCTAGCTCAGGCTAAAATGCAGTTTGGCTGCACCTTCACCTCTGCACCTCCAGGTGCATCACCAGGTGGTGGCACCTTTCTATCTCCAAGGGGTTTCATCTTTCCTGAAGACCAGAAAACACCTTTGGATGAAGGTGGGGACCCATATAGGGGAAATCTCTGCTGAGAGGGCACAGAAAGGCCAGCCATGCACACCACAAAGCCTCCTGCCATGGCTCTGCAGCTCCCAGGGCCGGGTCCCAGCACAGGAGACCTCCTGGCCCGTCGGTACTGGGGGGGGGTGCGGGGCGGGGAGGTGCCAGGGCTC